TATTAATAATAAAAAGATAATTATAAGGGAGGTTGGGGATGAGTGAAGAGCCTTCCCTTTGAGTCCTTTGGGAAGAAGAGTCTCAGCCTGGGCTACCCTCAAGCCTGGTTGATGGCACGGGGTGGGTTGTGGATGGGCATCACCGTGGCCAGGTTCATGTTCCCTCCTTTTCCTGACTCCAGCTGGCTCCAGTGTGATGTCCTGTGTCTCCTGCTTCTTCCTGTCATTTGGGAACAGCGAGTCAGCCATGATCGCTCTGCTCTGCCTTTTTGGGGGGGTCAGCATTGCATCCTGGAACGCGCTGGACGTGTTGACTGTTGAACTCTACCCCTCGGACAAGAGGTAGTTGGAGTGTCGTGGGGGCAGGGCCACTGGTTTCGGGCCTCCGTAAGGAAGCGGGCTGAATGGGAGATCATCTTTAGGGTTAGAAGGACACACATTCCCATTGAGTTTCTCCTCTAGGAGCTGGTAACTTTTGTATTCGGTCCTTGAAGTCTTAACTATTAACCTAATTTTTTGGTCTTCTTTTCCCCTTGCCTCCCGATCTGTATTCCCTGGTGTACATCCCTCCCCTCTCTCATCTTTCCGTCCTTCCTCTCCTTCTCGGACACTGCCTGCCATCTCTCCTTCACTTTCCCACCTACTCACCAATCCCCCACAAACCCTCCCGTGCCTCTTCCTTGTCTCCCCTTCGTACTGCACTGGGGGCTCCTGAGCAGGACCACAGCCTTCGGCTTCCTGAATGCCCTCTGTAAGTTGGCGGCCGTGCTGGGGATCAGCATCTTCACATCCTTTGTGGGAATCACCAAGGCTGCCCCCATCCTGTTTGCCTCAGCCGCACTTGCCCTCGGGAGCTCTCTGGCCCTGAAGTTGCCGGAGACCCGGGGGCAGGTGCTGCAGTGAGCGCCGCAGGGCTTTTGAGGGCGGCAGGCACACTGTGAGACCAACGGCTCCTTCTCCCTCCCTGCCCTGCCACCCTGGCCCGAGAAGCCTCAGTCCCCACTGCCCTGTGTTCCGTGTCTTAGCCATGTGTGTGTGCGTGCGCGTGTGCATGTGTGTGAGCCGTGGGCAGGAACTATAGGGAAGGCTCTCACGTCCCAGTTTCGGGATGCAGCTCAACTCCCCACCTCCTACCCCCGTTGACTCTGCACAAGAGAAGGCTTGGCCCCACCCTTCTCCCCCAGTGTTAGTGAGGGGCCCTAGCTCTTCCTGGCTCTAGGGGGTCCAGAACAGGCCTCCCGCCCTCCCCTGCATCCCCTCTGCCCAGGCCCTGGTGAAACTGTGGGCATGTGGTTATGCTGGGGGCTGGGGCTCGGTGTAGTCTATGGACCAAAAGAACTTCTTAGAGTTGGAAGGGCCTCAGGTGCCCTCTCACGCCTGCTGGATGCTGGGGAAGTAGCAATAAACCTCAGCCCCCTGGCCTCCAAGCCCCCCTCAATTTGGGCTACAAGTAAGAAGCCTGAGTTTTATGAAATTAACTTTCTGATTCTTATTTATTTATAGATTAAGTTCTGAGGCAGCTCAGCAGGACGGTGTGTGTGAATGCATGTGTAACACTGTGTGTGTGTGTGTGTGCCGTGGGGCGGGGTGTCACTATATTGTCCTAAGATACAAGCCAAGGCTAATCTCCGTGGACACACACACTACCCTGCCTCCCGTGGTCCCTCCCCTAATCTTGTTTCTGTGCCAGGCCTGGGAGGGGGGAGCCCCAGGCCAGGCTAGGCTGAGTCCCACAGCCTAGACAGACCTGAGGGCCCCGACGAGGTCCATCTCCTCCCCTCTTCTCAAGAAGCACAGGCCTCTGGAGTGAGAGGCTCCGCCCACTATAGCACAGACAGGGATGGCACAGCCGCCCTCCCACCCCCAACCTGTCCCCTCACGGGCAGGGTAGCAGGGGAGGGAAAGAAACCAGGCATATGGTCAAACCAGCAGATCAAAAAGCACAAGGAGCTGGGGCAGGGGCAGGAAGCAGGGGCCCTCCCAGCAACTCCTCTGGAGTGGGAAGAGGTTGGGCAATAAGCCAGGGACCCCTAATGTGGGACCAGAAGCCTCAGTTTCCCCATCTCACCTTTCTACGTGATAGCCCCTGTAGGTTAAGCTGCCCTTGCCTCACCCCACTGTGTGGCTGCTTTCTTTGGTGCCCTCCTGCCCCCCCCCCCACTGTAGCTGTGATGTGTTGTAGTTTTTAGCTGTTTGTAAAATGTTAAAAAAAGAAAAAAGTGAAAAGGAAAAAACGTGAAAACACAAACAACAAAAAAAGAAAATCCAAATTCACCCTCGTCATGTTGAGTCTGGTGCACCCACCCTATGGTCACTCCCCCCATTTTGTAACACTGAACCAGGTGGGGACTGTCGAACTCTGGTGTCTGTGCTCAAAGGACCGCCTTCTCCAGTGCCCAGTGTACGGGTGTGTACCCCCTTTCCTCCCCCTTCATTTGCTGGACGCAGCCTTCTCCCCTGTGCCCCCTGGAGGGACCCATCTCTCCTGCTCTCCTGGGGAACCCCCCTAAACCCAACTCTGTTGATGTGAATAATGAAAATATTGATGAAAAAGAAAAAGGAAGTAAATCCTTAAAATCCCAAATGGCTACGTCTGCTTCTTTGCTGCTCCACCTGCATTCAACTCTGTTCTGCCTGTGGGAGGGGAAGGTGGTGAGATGGAAATATTAGTCCTCTCTCCCTAAACTGAAGGCCAGAATGATACGATGCGCCACATTTATTTTCTCACTTGGCCTCTCTATCCTGACCTTTTCACTTCTGGAGATGGAGGGTCCTCTCAGTCTCCCAGATTTGAAAACTTGGGGTAATATCCTACAACTCTGTAGCAAAAAAAACTAGTAACTGATTTAAAAAAGGGGCTAACGTCTTGAATAAACATTTCTCCAAAGACATACAAATAGCTAACAGGTATATATGAACAGCACTAACCATCAAAGAAACGCAAATCAAACCCACAATGAGACATCATTTCACACCTGTCTGGATGGCTATTACCGAAAACCAACCCACCCCCCAAACTCAAACAAAACAAAAGAACTAAATGGTGTTGGTGAAGATGTGGAGAAATGGGAACACTTGCATATTGGTGGGAATACAAAATGGCGCAGCTGCTATGTCAAAGAGTATGGAGGTTCCTCAGAAAATTAAAAATAGAACTACCATATGATCCAACAATCTCACTTCTGGATATTTATCAAAAGAACTGAAATGAGGATCTTGGCAATATCAGCACTCCCATGCAGCACTATTCACAATAGCTAAGACGTGGAAACAAATGTCCATCCACAGATGAGCTGATAATGAAAATGTGGTCTATACATTCAATGGAATGCTATTCAGCTTTTAGAAAATAAGGAAATTATGCAGTATGTGATGACATGGATGAACCAGGAGGACATTAAGTCAAATAAGCCAGTTACTGAAACACAAAGACCAAACGATCCCATTAGTTATCTAAAATAGTCAAATACATACAATCAAAGAGTAGAATAATGGTTGCCAGGGGTAGGGAGGGAAGGAAATGGGGAGTTACTAATCAAACGGCATAGTTTCAGTTAAGCAAGATGAATAAGCCCTAGAGATGTGTATGACCCTGTACCTATAGTCAGTGATGCATTGTACCCTTAAAAATTTAAGAGAGTAGACCTCAGGTTAAGTGTTACCACCACAATAAAACAGAGCTTAAAAAATAAAATTTAACGCCCGCCGGGGTGGCTCAGTCAGTTAAGTGCCTTTGGCTCAGGTCATGATCTCGGGGTCCTAAGATTGAGCCCCCATGCTGCCAGGCTCCCTGCTCAGCAGGGAGTCTGCTTGTCCCTCTCCCTCTGTCCCCTTCCCACTTGTGCGCATGCGCGCTCTCTCTCAACTAAATAAAATTTTCAAAACAAACAAAAACTTGGGAGTGTTTCTTGAGAATAGAGCCAGCTTTCCTCCAAATCCTTTTGTGTGTCTTTTAAAGATATGGATTCCAGATTCCATTCTTGTGGAATCAGAATTTTTCTTTGGAAGAGGGGGCACCTAGAATCCACATTTGAAATAAGTTCCCATGGGAATTCTTATCTGTGAGGAAATCTGAAAACCACTGCCTGGGGATTACCTGGGACTCCCCCCTCATTCACATTTCTGTTCTAATTTTCTGACTTTTCAAGGTAGCTCTCAAAACTCCTTCCTTTCCATTCCTACAGCTGGCCTTGAAGTCAGGGTCCCACCTTCCCTTTTGATCTCTGTGCCTCCCATCTCGTATGTCAACTCACTTACACATCACTGCCAGATCACTCTGCCCCCAAATGCTCTTTGGTATGCCCTTCCTCAAAACTCAGTGACTTCCTACTGTCCAACCAGATGTAGTCTAAACTGTAGCTCAAAATGATCAAGATATATGTTCATCTATTTCTTTAGTATCTAGAGTCTATTGCCACATTAAGGTCACCAACATTGTGTATCTAGACATCACTTGAGCTCCCTTCAGAGACAGGACTTTAGAAGGCTCGTAAGAAAAAGGGCTATATAAAGTTTTCTCCTTCTATACTCATTTTCCATGTTATCATCTTTTCACTGCCTTACTGTGTTTTGGTTTCTATTTGTTTTGTTAAGGATTTTTCTGAGAAACAAAGGCAAATCCTTTTGGAAATGGACAGGCTAATAGCCAAATATTCCCCCAGTATGAAATTCAAAAGTATTTGTAACTCCTGTCTTGTCCAATCAGTCACTGTCTAGTCCAGCTTCTAGGCCTTTGCTGAGCTCTTCCCCCTACCCATAACATCTTTCCTCTCCTTTCTGGTTTAAGTCTGTGCTTTCCTTTCAAGATCCGATTAGGTCACTCCCCCCAGTGAAGCCCTTCATGACTACCCTAGGCTACAGGTATCTTTCTTCTCCCAAGAACATCTGTAGCACTGATTCAACAGGCCATTAATAACACAAAGCAGTGTATCTCCTATAATTTATCTTTTAAGGTACAGGATTATTTCCAACTCATCGGGTCTGGTGGTTCCTTAGTCACAATTTAACACGAAATGCCTGGGCAGCTTTTCCTAAATAGTAAAGGGCAAGGGCAGTGGTGAGTGATTCTACTCTTTCCTTGGGTAAGCTTGGATCTGAAATGAGTTGCTAACTCCAGAGAATATGTATGTGCTGGCTGAATGGGACCCAAGGGTCCTTACCCCTTACAAATACCAGACTGTATTGAAGGGAAGAAAGCCCGTAGTTTATTCCCAAACCATTAGAATCCTGGTCTTCCCTCTCTCGGGGCTCAGGGGGTTCCCCGAGTTTTCTTGCTCCCACCCAGGCAAGGGGGGCTCATGTCCAGTTGAGGGTTTTCCTTCCACTGGGCGGGGGTCCGTGCCTGTATGGCCAGTGCGTGGACCGGCCCAGCCAGCTCCTCAGACAGGGCAGCGTGGACCAGCCGGTGCCGTTGTAAGGCGCTCAGTCCCTCAAAGCGAGAGCTCACCACCGCCACGCGGAAATGCGTCTCGCTGCCTGGTGGGACTGCATGGCCGCCGCTCTCGTTGCGCAGCTCCAGCACCTCGGGGTTGAGGGCCTGCTCCAACTTCATGCGAATGGCTGCCTCGACGGGACCGATGGTCCCCAATCCTGCGCTGCTCCGGGATAGACACACGCGACCGGCCATGGAGAACAGGCGCCCGACCAGCTGCCCACTCAGCATCGGCTACCGCAGAGACAAGGCCCGAGCAGAGGGTCAGGGCCTCCCACCTGGTGAGAGCCCAGTCTCACCAGCCTCCCACCCCCAGCCCCATCCACACTCCGCTCCTGCAGGGCGCCCGCCTCGACTCCAGACATCAACCCTTTCCTCTGCGTGACGTGGGGGAATTTGGCCTCCCGCCGAGGGCAGCGGAGAGCCGACGAGGGACTGGAAAGGGCCCGCGAGAGGCACATTTAGCAGTGAGTGGGCCGGAGGTTGCAAAGGCAGGGTATGCACAACTCCGGGTTTATGGTTGAGCCAGTGTCCCCTTTAAACCCAGGCTGGGCCCTTTCTACCTTCCGCTCAGCCTTGGCTGCCGCAGTTGGGGCTCAGGGACCCGACTCCTGAAGGTCTCGGACAAACGCGGTCGTCGCGTCCTGAGGCACGCTGGGAAATGGAGTCCTGGCTACGCGATAGTAGAACGGGCAGGCGTCACGTGATGCCCCGAGAGCTCACGGGAACTGTAGTGTTTTTTTTTTTTTTGGCGACTAGCGCTTTTAGGTCATGAAGCAGAGGGATGCAAAAAATCCAGGAATTCCCGCTCATTTGGGACTGCTGTTATTTGATACATTTTATTGTCATCTAGCTGAACTCCTTTATTTTACATACAAGAAAATGGAAGCTCATTCCATTTACTGCACACATAATTACTGCGCGCAGACCAGTCCTGGAGACTGGGAAATAAAGCAGGGCCGGTCCTCGAGAAGTTTACAGTTACAGAACACTGAAGATGAACAAGTAAGCAGGCAATTACAATACCATGTGCTAAGTGCTATGATGGGACGGAGAACAGGCTGCCAAGGAGTCATGTCACCCAGACCTGGGGGCGCAGAGAAACTTTGGAGAGGAGATTTTATAAAAGAGACAGCCCGAAAGCCCCTTTCTCAGTCCCTCACAGTCGGGCTGTGGTAGTTGCAACACGCAAAGGCCAGGAGAGGGAACTTAGGAGGAGTGGTTACTTAGGGGGTAGTTAGGTGTAGCTGGAGCTGTGGCGGGAGAGATGACGGTGACCAGGAGTGAGTGAGTAGGTAAGCCAGCTTGGGAGGAGGCAGGGGCCAGACCATACTGGGCCTTGTAGGCCTTGTTAGGTGGCTTTGTCTTTATCCTGGGTAGCAGTGGGAAGCTAGTGAAGGTTTTAAGCAGGGTTGTAACAGGATGAGCTTTTTTCTAAGATGATATGTAAGTTTTCAATTTGTATTTTATATCTTTAATATTTTATCGATTATTTCTCCATATATTCCCCAGTATTTTCCTCAACTTCTAATTTTGAAAAATGTCAAACCTGCAGAAAAACTGAATCCAAAGCAACATCTACCTTTCACTATTTTTACATTTATGTATATTACATACTTATATATTCAAGTACTTTATATATACCTATATACTTTAAAAATACTTATATACTTTTTTTTTGGTCAAACCATCTGAAAATAAGTTGCAGATAGCAGAGACATTTCACCATCAATTCTTAAGAGCAAGGATATTCTCCTATATAACCACAATATCCTTATCTCACTCAAGAAATTGAACATAATGACATTATTTTCCCCTAGCCTTTAAAAAAATTTTAAAACTTTCAGAAAAGTTGCAAGATCAGTACACTTAGCACCCTATTTACCCTTTATCTAGATTCACTGACAATATTTTACCAGACTGTCTTTGTCTCTCTTTGACTTTTTATGTATATAACAATAAAAGTAGTTGCAAAAATCTTTACATTGTACCGCTATTGACTTCAACATATATCTTCTGAAAACAAGGACATTTTCTTACATAACCACAATACCATTACCACACCCAAGACATTAAACATTCATATATTATCTCATATACAGTTGATATTTGAATTTCCCCAGTTGTCTCATTAGTGTCCTTTATAGCTTTTTATTTTTGGAAAGCCAGTCAAGGATCATGCATTGCATTAAGCTGTCTTTAAATCTGTAGTTTGCAAAGATGGCTGGCTGCAGTGCGAATTGTCAGAGAGGTGAGTGAAAGCAGGGAGGCCGGATGGGAGGTTACTTGTAGCAGGATCCGTGAGAGACGATGACGACTTGGGACCCAGGTGGTGGCAGTGGAGGTGAAGGTGGAAAGAAATGGTGGCTACAAGATACATATTAGGAGGGTAAAATCCACAGGATGTGGTGATAGGTTAGTTATGGGTGGGGAAGTGTCAAGGATGACTATCAGGTTTGTACATCTGGGTGGATGGCATTTGTTCTGTAAGATATGGAATACTGGAAGAAGACCCGGTTTGAAGGGTGGTGAAGGGGAAGATTAGGTGCCCAATTCAGTTTGGGGCTTGAGTCAGAAGTGTCTTTACAGTATCTTAGAAGAGATATCGAGTTGGATATATGGTTCTATGTGCGTGTGTATTTTATTACTAACTTTTTCTTCTGAAATACTTTCAGAGTTATAGAAATCCTAAAAATGGTACAAATTTCTATATATCCTCGTGAGATAACAGAAATATATATCGGTCTCTGGCCCAGGTTCCTGGCATAGAACTCCTAAAAACCTTGTAAGATCCTAAGTTACAAGAACACTGGAAGCATCTCTTGTTCTAATATTGGTCTTTGACCCCAGTTGCTGACACAGTGCTCCTGCAACCCTTGCAATTTCATGGGTGATAGGAGTGTCTTTTGTTCTAATAAGGCAAGTCTGGCGGGGGGGGAGCTCCTGCATGAGGGCTGGTCACCCAGAGAGAACAAGCCATGATTAGAAGCTTGGAATTTCCAGTCCTGCCCCCACTCTCTTCAGAAGGGTGAAGGGCTGAAAATGAAGTTAATGATCCATCATGATGCCTATGTGATGAAGTTTCCGTAAGATCCCAGAAGTATGGAGTTTGGGGAGCTTCTGGTTGGCAAGCATGTGGAGGTACTAGGAGAGTGGCATGCTGGAGAGGCCCCTCCCACATACCTCGCCCTTGCTCTTCCATCTGGGTTTCATCTGTATCCTTTGTCATATCCTTTTATAATAAACTGGTAAACATTTAAGTAAAATGTTTCCTTGAGATCTGTGAGCAGCTCTAGCAAATTAATAGAACCCAAAGAAGGGGGTCATCGGAACCCTAATTTAGTCAGTTGGTCAGGAGCACTGGTGACAAACAACCTGGGCTCGCAGCTGGTGTCTGAAGTATATGTGTGTGTGTGTGTGGGGGGGCAGTCTTGTGGGACAGAGCCCTGTGACCTGTGGGATGTGATGCTGTCTCTGGGTAGTTGGTGTCAGAACTGAATTAAATTGTAGGCCACCCAGCTGGTGTTGCAGAAAACTATTTGGTGTGGGGGAAAAACCACACATTTGGAAGTGAAGTGTTTTATGTGACTAGTAAAAGAGACTCACAGGGAAGAAACACACAGGAGACAGACTGAACTGAGGTATTCCCCGACACAGGTGAAAAATTGAGTTTTTCCAATACGTAAACCCTCATCCTGATACGCAGATTATCCAGATGTTAACATTTCATCATGTTTGCTTTATTTCTATGTATCTATCTACACATAACTTTTTTCTGACCCCTCTGAGAATAAGTTTCAGAGATAAAGCCCCATTTACCTCTAAGCAGCTGTAGTGGTTAATTTGATTGGGCTATTGGGTGCGCCCAGATATTTGGTCAAACATTATTCTGGGTTTTTTTTTTTTTGTAAGGGTGTTTTGGGATGAGATTAACATTTAAATTGGCAAAGTAGATTGCCTTTCTTCATGTGGGTGGGCCTCATCAGTCAGTCAAAGGCCTGAATAGAACAAAAAGGCTGGTCCTCCTTGAGAAAGAGAGTTCTTTCCTGCCTGTGTGCCTTTGACCTGGGACATTGGCTTTTTTCCTGCCTTTGGACTCAAACTGAAACACCGACTCACCGACTCTTCCTGGGTCCCCACCCGCTGGCCCTCGGACTGGAACGGTAGCATTGGTTCTCTTTGTTTGCAGGTCTTCATCAACTTTCCCGGTTTCCACCCTGCTGACTCACCTGGCAGATCTTGGGACTTGTCAGCCTCCACCATCATGTGAGCCAATTCCTTATAATAGATCCTTCTCTCACTCTCCATGTATATCCTATGGGTCTTTCTTTGGAGAACTCCTTTTTTTTTTTTTTTAAGTGGGGGACAGAGGGAGACAGAATCTTAAAGCAGGCTCCATGCCCAGTGCAGAGCCTGTTGCGGGGCTCAGTCTCACAACCCTGAGATCATGACCTGAGCTGAAATCAAGATTCAGACACTTAACCAACTGAGCCACCCAGGCAGCAGACCCTCTCTGAAGAACTCTTATATTTACTAATGTCTATTTAGTTTCAAAAAAAAAAAAAAAAAAGACATTTCTCAAATAACCACAATACAATTGTCAAACTCTGGAAATTGACATTGATACAGTACTACTATCTAATATACAGTTCTTACTCAAAATTTGTTAATTTCCCCACTTGCGTCTCTTTTGTATAAAATGAAAAAAAAATGTTCTGGTTCAGGATCCAATCTGGGATCACATGTGGTATTCAGTTGTTATGTCTCTTTGGCCTCTGTTTTTTCTTTTTTTTAAGATTTTATTTATTTATCTGAGAGAGAGAAAGAGAGAATGAAAGAGAATGGGAGGGGGGAGCGATAGAAGGAGAAGCAGACTCCCCACTGAGCAGGGAGCCCAACGTGGAACTCGATCCCAGGACTGTGAGATCCTGACCTGAGCCAAAGGCAGGTGCTTAACAACTGAGCCACCCAGGTGCCCTCTTTGGTCTCTGTTAATCAGGAATAGTTCCTTAGTCTTTGTCTCTTATGACTTTGACATTATTGGAGAGTACAGACCATTTATTTTGTAATGTCCCTCAATTTGGGTTTTTCTAAGTATTTCTCCACGATTCAGACTTAGGATACGCATTTTTGGCAGGAATACTGCAGAAGTGATATTGAGTCCTTTTCAGCGAACCATACAAGTGGGCATATAACTTGATATGTCTCATTGCTGGTGATAATTCTGGTCATTTAGTAAAGTGCTATCCTTCAGGTTTCACCATTGTAAAATTATTCTTTTTCCATTTGTAATTGTGGGTGATACTTTGAATCTATGTATTATCCTGTTTCTCATTAAGTTTTTGTCTACTAATTTTAGCATCTGAGAAGTGTATTTGAAGCAGGGGTTATTGAAGATGGAATGAGATTATCTTGGATAAGTGGGTAGGAAAGTGGGTAAGGGTGGTGGAATCACGTTGGGAGAGAGGGTATGATGAGAAAGAATCCGATTTTCCAGAAGAATGTATTAGAGGAACAGGAAGAGTAGAAAAGCTGTTGGCAATAATCTGGTGAAAGATAATCTGAGTGAAGGCAGGAGATGGGCTAGAGAGCAGGCAATAGATCAGAATGCTGCTAAAGAGATGGAATCTATAGGACTTGTTTTTGGTCA